GAGGTGAGACATGGGGCTGCAAGCAGATCACAGCCCCTGGCCCCTTCTATCCCTTGCTCTTTTGCCCCAAGTTCTTGTGAGGTGGCAGGAGGAGCTGTAATTTTTTTTTCCTTTCTAAAAAAATCTCCATTTGTTTTTTCCTTCACACCTGGCTGTGTGTATGGGGGAAGGGTGCTTTTTCCTCCCAAAGGAGGTGTTCTCCTGCAGATGTCCCCTTTCCAACTCCTCCTACTTCCCTGACACAAGATAATGTTTTCAATGTAGTGGAAATTGTGTTGTATTCATTAGCAGGAATCCTGATAATGGTAAATGTGTTTTGCATAAACACCACAACAAAGCCTCCTGGTCAATACAAGGGGCATTAGTGTAGACCAAGGAGTGTAGACCCCTACCAAGTGTAGTGTAGCTGGGTTGACTATGAAAGCCCATAAGAGCCCAGAAATGATCCATACTATTATTTTGTAGTTTAGTTTCATCATGCTTGACCTTTAAAAAAATAAACAAAAATAAACAAGCTCCATTCAGCACTGAGTAAAACTAGAGTATTCATATTTGAATGACTGAGCCAGTGATGATCACTTATTTTAAAACATTGCAGCTGCTGCTTCTATATTTTTTCATTCCTAAATGATTCCCCATAATTATCCAAGTCACTTCTATTATTTGTGCTAAATTAGTACTGTATTATTCCCTTCTCTTCCATTTACCTTCTTCTTTATGCTTTGAAGCTGGGTCACTGGGAATCTTGACAGTTAGTTACTGATTAGTTCTTTGTATCTGTAGCTATTATCTCTTATGAGAATTTGAACAAAAATGTATTTTGTTCCCACCTTCCTTGTTCTTCTACATGTTCACTTGGAGGTCTCCAGTCAAGCTTATTTCCAAATAAGTGTATGTGAGATTGCAGTTGGACTGTATTGCCACACTTCCTGAGATACATCATTGAATGCTTAGGGAGTTGAGATTTTCTTCCAAGTAATAATGCAGGAGTCAGGTGGGTTAGGAAAAAGAAAATATATGCACAGGAAACATTTGTTGACCTATTTACAAGGCAATTTTGCATGGAAAATGCTTCCTTTTGATTTAAATCAGTAGGCAATTTTATTTTTCTTTTCATTTGTGGTCCCAATACTATGGAAACTCTTGTCTCACAATCAGAGATTTGTATGGCCCATTACTTGCTATCCAATTATATCTGAATACTGGTATGCCTGGTATTCCTTCAATCTTCTGGAATAGGAAAAATATTGGTGGTTTTCCAGCTTTTGCACAAACAACTGGTGGTTAGGGGGAAAAGATGCAGGGGGAGCACAAGTGGACTGAATTTGGCCCCTGGACCTGAAGTCCAACACTCCTTGTTTTAATGGATTGTATTCATTTTCACTGAAGAAACTTTTCCTACCTACTCTGTACTCTGAGTACTCCTGAAAGTCAAGATGGGAAGAGAGGGGAGTACAGAAAAAGATTCAGAAAAATTCTTCAGGAAAAAACTGTCATTGCTTCCATTGAATCTGAGTTCCTTCAGATAAAAAGAGTGTAGGTTATTGTAGGAAGGCTTTCTTTAGCTAAAATCCCAGGAAAATGGATGCACAACAGATGAGACAATGAATGGACAACCAAAAACCACAACAATAACAGATATTATTATTTGATATATATTCCTGGGATAGCATTATAATTAGCTTCTCATAGCTAAACCAGGAAAGAATACCAATAATAACCCACAATATGTATCAACTCTTTACGTTCAAGGACCAATGCAGGAAGACTGGGGAGAAAACAGTAGCAGAAGCAATTCCTGATCAAGTTGAAAAGAAAAGCAACATGGGCAAAATATGGCTATTATGAAATCAATGATCAGTTATTTCAATCTTTGCAGATAAATGCAAACCATAGAATGAAAAAAGCATTATGAAGATGAGAGGAAAGATTGGGGAAATTATATTATGCCATTCAATATTGAATTCAGTTTGTATCAGCTGGTGATATTTTCAGGAAGCAAAGCAAAACTAAACAACTGGGATTTCTCTTTTTTATATCAGATCAGCCACAGCCCCATTACAACAGTTTTCTTAAAATGAATGTAATATAATGGAACATTATTTTCTATCCTAAAAGCTATAAAGTAAATTTATGTATTATATTTGTGGTTCAGACTAATAAGAAAAGAAAATCAAGGTAACACAGATATTTAGTTCCTTAGCAACATAATGAGAATGTAATTTGATATAGTGTACATATGAAAAATCACACTGATCTGTCATCCACAACAGTCAGTAATATTGTAACAACTCAATTCTACTTCTTATTGGTATGTTAATAGAAATAATTTTACTAAATATTTCAATACATATATAAAGAGAGAAGGAGGGAGATTCAAACTATAACAGTATATACTTTGGAAAATTATCTGTTGAAATCTTTACAATGAACATTTTCCCAGTTTGAATACAGGAACCAAGGACTTAATTCACTTCTCAGCTAATCAGTGATTTCTTCCTAGAAAGTGGAGAAGAACAAGCAGCAATAGGCTTGACCTTGACTGAGGTGAAAATTACCAAGAACTATAATTAGATGGATGACCGAGATAGGTAATATTGCCATTTCTTTCAAGATATGGGAATCTTTAAATACAATTATTTCACTGTTCCTTTAACTTATGTGACAGTTATAAGGCTCTAAGGAACCAAAACAGAAGTGTGAATAAAACAAATCTATGTATGCTTTCAATAAAAAATGAAATAATGATTCAAGACTTCTAGGAGAATCTTTTGTGTTTTCAAAGGAATTAATGGGCAAACGGAGAGAAAAATATCTAGACTTCAGCACAATGCTGCTTATTTAATTATTACTTCGATGTACAAAAGTATAGCTATGGACATTTTGAACAATTTTCATATGGTGAAAGTAAAAGCAACTACCCTACTCCATTTCCACAATTCTGACCATGTCATAGAAATAAATGAGTACAGAATCTGGACCTGGTACAAACTTGCCTGTTTTAAAAACTGCAGTGTACTGTTTTATCCAAATCTGGACAAATTCTAGTAAGTCTTAACTATGGTTTACTACAGGAAAGGAGAACATGGGGCCCTCCACATGCTGGGACTGGTTGTTTCCCAGGCATGGTTTGCTAAAACAAGCCAACTTCAAACTGTGGTTTACGTAGCTAGCTTGCTTCAATAAACCAAATTTAAGATCAGCAATATTTTAATTGAGAATGGACAAATCAATCAATTTTGGTTTTCCTAAGTTACTCGTATCTCTTATTTTAAATTCTGGTTTGTACTGAATTTGCAAATGTATTTTAAATACCGCATACAGATACAGAGAAATAAATATGCATAAACATTCTCAACAATACTGTAAAATTTAGGCTCATTCCCTTCCCCATGGTGATGTGATTGCCATTTGGGCCAGGATCCCAAGGCCCCACTTTACTTTGATCCCTAGCTCAAGTGTATGTGTCCCTATGCTCCCTGCACAAACACATCTTGCCTGCTTGCCCCTGCCAGGAGTATGCCTAGTATTGTTTCATGGTAAACAGAAGAGGTAAAATAGTAAATATTCTGGTTCGATTCTGCTTCACATCCATGTTGAATAGGAAAAATAGAGATATGTCTGTAAACGTGCTGGACTAATGGCTAGAGATGCAGCATGTCCACCTCTTCGATGCAATATACATAGTTGGAAAAAAAAAGCAAAAGTTTCAAATGCACAATGACCCTACAGCATAGTAAAAGAAACTAGCCAACCAACAGCTGAAATGTATTGCATTCCTCTTTCTCTTGGGCTTCTATGTATCTTTTCACTGCAGTGGAACAATTCTTTTGTTATGAACTATTTTTTATATAAAAATGAGCAAAATCCAGATTTTTTACAGCCTTCTTATCAACCTTTGATTTGAAAAGATGTAATCTTTCTTAGGACCTTATAACATAAAATGGAACAGACAGTAATTTCAATAAAGCTAGTGGCATTTGTCAGATAGCACACACTATTGATCTTTTAAGACAAAGGTCTTAATTTTGAATCTCAAGAGTGCAAATAAATGCAAGAACCAAATAAGGTTTTTCTCCTCACAAAGAAAACCAGAAAGACATCCTGCTATAAGAAATTGACTACTACAGGAAGCAATGCATAGTGAAAACAGACTCCTGAGGAAGTTTAAAAAAATGTTTCCTTATCATGAGATTGTTCTGCTGGTCTTAATACGCAAGAGTGTTACATTGCTAATGACAGCACCCTTCTACCATCACTGAAGCTACTTTCTGAGCCCATATTCAGTTCTCAGGCTCACAGGTGATCGTCTGCTTTCTGGCCAGTGTTGAAATATTTAGTTTTATTTTCTTTTTAAACTGACAACAAAAAAGTCTTAGGTGATGTGATTGCAAAATTTATCTATATTAGGGTGTTTATAAGGTAAAGGTAAAGGTTTCCCCTTGACGTTAAGTCCAGTCATGCCTGACTCTAGGGGGGCGGTGCTCATCTCTGTTTCCTAGCTGAGGGAGCCAGCATTTGTCCGCAGACGGTCTCCATGGTCATGTGGCCGGCATGACTAAACAACGAAGTGCACGGAACGCTGTTACCTGCCCACCAAAGTGGTACCTTTTCATCTACTTGTATTTGCATGCTTTCAAACTGTAAGATTGGCAGGAGCTGGGACAGAGCAATGGGAACTCACTCTGTTGTGCAGATTCGAACTGGCAACCTTTCAATCAACCAGCCCACCTGCACAGCGGTTTAAACCACTGCGCCACCTGCAGTCCCTAGGGTGTTTATAGGAGCACAAAAATACATGGCCTGTGGAAACTATACCACCAAGAGAATCCCGGCTACTTGCTTAACTAAAAGAAATAGGTCTGAATACCTTAGCATCAATCTTTTTTCCCAATGTGTATAAGTAATTGCATGCATAAACATTTAGAGAAACATTTAATTTTATCAATGCTAACATTAACACTGAGAGTTTTTAAAAAGGTAGAATTTGATTGACTTACATTAATTAATTCAATATCCCAGATTTTTTTCACAAGGTCCATAGATGTATAGCCATTTATCAGAAAGGCTTTGATGTAGTCACCCAGTTCCAGAGAATCTAGCCACTCTGCTACAGAGGTGGGGTTGTAGACATCACTGCCTATCTGTTTCATCTGAAATACAAAAATGCTAGATAGTGTCAAATGTTATTTGGGCCAGATGATAAGGAAAAAATTAAGAAACCAATAAACCATTCTAAAAATGTTTGAGCTCCTAAAATCTGAAAATCTCAAGTGAGGGGGCAATTAGCTAGAAAAAGGGCCTTCTTCTTATTGTACCTCATCTTTCTTCCAAAAGAGGTGTGACTGGCACCCTCTTTTGGTCTTCTTCTTGTTGTTATCCCCAAGTAAAGACCTTTTAATTTAATATTGGAGTCATGCTTTTATTTGGTTTTTGCTGGTTTTGCTCTTGCTTATATTATTATCATCCTCTTGTTTTCCTACTTTATATTAATTGGATTTTATTTGATTTTTAGCTGGTATTGTTTTATTTATTATATGCATTCTACATTGTTGTCAATTCTTTTGAACTGCCCAGGGAGCCCAGGGGCCGTGGGATGGCATACACATGCAATAAATGAATGAATGATCTTTTGCTAGTAAATAATATTCTCTGACTGGCTTCTAGGTTTCTGGGTTTTATCTGTATCTGTATTATATTTATTTATTTGTGTGAGCCGTCCCAAGGCTATATAGCAAGGGGACGGCATACAAAAACTTTAAATAAATACATAAAGTTTTACCAGTATTTTATACATTTTCATACCAAAAATAAACAAACGTAAGTGCTCGAGTTGCCAATAGTGCCAAGTAAAGTAGAAGTCCACTGTGCTTGCAAGTTGTCTGCCAATTCTTGCCACTACATGACTGCTCCACTACATTTACACACAGACAAATCAAGAGGGGTGGCCTCCAAATGATCTTCCTCTTTTGTGTGTTTTTGGAAGGAATGCCATGTTTGCATAGCCTGGGAGATTGTATTCTCTAGACCAGTGGTGGCAAACCTATGGCATGCGTGCCACAGTGGGCACACAGAGCCCTCTCTGTTCACATAAGAGCCAAGTCGCTCCGGCAGCAGAGCATCGGGTAACAGCGCACATAGAGGATGAGTAGAGGCGCCAGGCAATGACGTCACGAGCCACGACTCATTAGCCATGGCTTGTCTGAGCTTTCACATGGCTGGTCAGTGCACTGCAAAGGATGCATGTATTTTCTTGGACTGGCTGTGAGTTGTTTTTTCTAACCTGGAACCTCAATATTCAGGTTTTGTTGCAGTGTTGGCACTTTGCGATAAATAAGTGGGCTTTGGGTTGCAGTTTGGGCACTCGGTCTCTAATCACTGCTCTAGACAGTCCTTCCTATGAAGAGAGACAGATTCAGAAAGCCACACAGTTCAGGTAAAACTGTTAGTTAAGATAAAACTTAGTCATCATGAAGGAAACCAATTAACTGAAAAGTTTCTCCTGAAATTTAAGGAATTATCTGATAGCTTTTGGGTATATTACTATTTTGGCTATAGGTATAAAATTTAACAGGGACATTTTCTGAGCTTAGAAGTTGCTACTTGTTTAATTTGAATTATATAGAAATATGCATTCAACTTCTGAACTGTCATTTAATTTAAAGATGACTTGGTCAACATGGGACATCTATTGTTCTTGTTCAAAAGCAAGAGCATACAAAACCTATTTGCTAAGCATTATACTTTCAGTTAATAGTTCTTTTTGAATTTATATATGCCTTTTGAGTACATAATCCAGGCTTCCCCAATCTGTTATTTTCCAGATGCTTTAAACCATAACCCCATCACTACTGATTATTGGCTATTGGGGGTTATCTGAAAGTTGCTTAATCACCCAGCAAGCCATACTGCTTGCATTTATATGACATGATGACCTGTGGCGAATCAATGATTGTGCCGATTTTGCCAACATGCGCTGCAAGTCACAATAAACCATCATGGTTCAATTAGCAGAAAATTCTTATTGCAAAACAGTGAATTATGATTTAGCTCAACATGATGAAGCAGAAACAGATTTTTCTAATACTGAACAGAATATTTTATGGTGATGCAGCAAAGGTGATACAGGGAAGCAGGGGTAATAAAGAAAAGGCTAGACAAAAAGAGACCAGAGCTTTTTTCTCAGAAATAAAGATGACGATATAAGCATCTGAAAAGATGTAACCCAAATAGATGGTAGATAGAATAAAAGATGAAATAATGTACAAGGGAACATTGTGAGGGAACTTCTTAAGTGAGATGCTATGAAAATTTATAAAATTGCAGATTTAACAGTTATGGGGACTGAGACAGAGAAAGAAAAAAAGACAATGAAATAGTAAGGATATTAAAAGGAAAGCAGAGAAGTGCTTTTGAATTTATACCCTATGGAAGTTTCACTAATTGTCTGGTGAATTAATTCATTTGTTACCCCTCCCTTCATTTCAGTTTATTTCTAAGGCAGTTTTCATAGTATCAGTTTTAAATACCAAATTGAATATAATCCTAATCCCCCAATACTGATGGCTGGAGGGAGTCAGGATTGCATTCTGAGTATCACAGGGCAGGAGGGGAGGCACAACAAAGGCTCTGAAGATATAGTTTCACGCCAGAGAAACAAACATGACACCCTCTATGGATGTGTGTGTGAAGATGAAATATTCGTTTTAAAAGAAGATGGCAGGGGAGTAAGAGGCCACCTAACCAGTTCATAGGAGTGCTGAGTTCAGGGTCAGAGGCCACTTAGTGATCAGCCAATGTAAGCCATGGATGGTTCTCATCCATGTGGATATTTCAAACTAAACTACACTGAATACGTGCAGTGTACTTCTCAACAATACAACAATAACTCAGACAAAAGGAGGATTGCTAATTATTTCTCACCCAGAATTTTTCAGTAAAGCAGGAACAGCCATGTGCTCCCCCCTGCAGTGCAGCTTTCCAGTGTTAGTACCTGCTACCCACTCCTTCCTCCAATAAGTCAGGAAGGGAAAAACAACTGGCGGTTGGTAAAATCTGGAGGCTTATTAATGACAAAGCTAGTTGCTTTTTATTTTTACTTTTTGTCAGCACTGCTAAGGCAGGAGTACAGCCCATGGTCTGAAGGAGGAGAATTGGTCACACACTGTTAGTGTCCACTTATGCACTAACAGTTATATTAATAACTGCTATATATGTGACACTTCAGCCTTTGCTTATACCAGTCTTTGATTTTGATAACTTTATATATGGCCAGTGCAGCAAATTTGTTCCCATAAATGGCTTTTCTATTGCACTCAGAAATCCACAAGAACCTGATTTTGGACATCCTTCAGAGCTGGTTCAGATTGTCTCTGCTAGCTCATTTGCGCAAATAGCTGCTCATGCAAATAGTCTATGTGTATAAGTAGTAGATGCATGCAAGCTGTATATTATCACATAAGCATACCCTCAAAATTCCTACAATGACTTATGTGGATGTGATATGCTGGAAATGCAGAAATCCCTGCTCATGGAATCTTCTGCGGAGATTTCCATTATTCTGTTTATCTGTTTGCATAATAAGCAATACATTCATTCTCCACACCAGCTCAGAATCAATGACAGGGTTCATCTTTCAGTAGTACAAGAGACTGCTGTTGATGGCAAAACGCTTGTATTAAGAAGCAAAGCCTGTATTGTAAATATAAATTCCTAGACTGGTAATACTTGCCGGTTGTACCAACATGCTTATGCACTTTATAGTATATTAAAATCTGTTGACAGCAAAAGTACTTTCTGCAAAAGATTCCAATGTGATAGCCTTTACAAATGCATATCAAGATTCCAAATGCGCTTTCTAAAATTATGCATTATATGGTAGCTTTAAAAAAATATCTCCAAAGTTCTTCAATTGCCATTCTTTCACTAATTATATATGTGTGTGTGTAGGGGGGGAGGTTTCCAGACAAATAATTTATGGTGCCATCACCCTGTCTCATTCACAGAATTTTACAGAGGGTACAAGCTCTGTCTTCCTTCATAGCCTTCCCATGTTTCTTCCACTGCTTCTTCCGCTGTTTTTCTTACTACAAAAATCTACCAAGGAAGAAAGAGAATAGTTGCACAACACCAAGCACTAGTATGAATCAAGAGAACAAATGTGAATTTGAAAAAATGTATTAAGATAATAAGGCCCAAGAGCGTAATATTTCTACTTAAGGGGATGGAGATATATATCTTCTTTATGACATTAGAATCTAGATCATAAAAATACAACATACCTTTGGAAGGAGCTGAATTGCCTGGAGAATTCTTTGTCTATGTCCAGAATTAAGTATTCCAATTTCTAAGAGATCTTGATCCTCCATAACATTGCTTCCCTAAAACAAACAGCAAACAAGATTGATCTGCCATGTTCATACCTTTAAATGTATTATGATATTTAAAACTGTACCCTTCTTAACAAATGTTATCTGATAGCCTAATTAAGTAATTATAGGTTGCCTGCAGACTTAATCTTATTTACAGCAAAGCCACTGAAGTCAATAGAACTTAAGGCAGAGATAATGAAGATCTACTCAATTTACTTTTAGTATGACTTCAGTCAAGATCCAACCATATGATCACTTATTTTCAAGCTCAACAAATCTGAAAGTTGCAGTATCACTACTATATTTGTAGTACTAGCAATTATTTAATTCGACTATATTTGCAGTGCTAGCAGTTATCACCAAGGTGGTAGTAGAACGTGATGATAAAAGTAACCCTGTGTACAGTTCAGTCTGTTTCTAATATTACTCACAGTTCTTCTCCCACAAAGAATGCAATATCAATAGAAAACTATATTTACTTGGCTTGTATTTTACATTAGGTACAGAATACTTTTGTACAACATAGGCCACCATCTTCTTACACGTACATGGGCAGCTCAGAGACAAAGTTTTGGAATTTAAGGATAAGAAAGCTACAATTCTCATATATTCACCTTTGTGCCTTGTAAGCAACAAAAATATTCCTTTCTGAGAGTATCACATCTCTAAATAAAATTACCATCTTGCCAAACTGGTACCCTTTCCTTTTATCTGAATGTGTTACTTATTTCACTCACATGTATCCAAGTATTAACATATTTTCTTTACAGTAGCAACCTGCACTGTTTAGAAGAGAATGGAGGGACTGTGATGAGTGCTGCGTGTGGATCATTTCCAAGAAGAGGGCAAAGGATCATGATATGGATTGCCTCCTTTAAAGACAGTGAATCACAGTGAGAAGCAGAGCATGGTATCTCAACATCATTTGGCAAAGCGCTTACCAAGAGAGAGTCACATTGCAGATTGCTTCTTCTAAAAATGGCAATAATCACTTAAAGGTTGCAATGTGCAGTGCAGTACCTCCCCCACACACTTGGGAAAAACAGGAAGATGAAAGAGTCAAAATTATGCACCAAATACCTATTTTTTTCCTGAAGAAATGCTGCTTTTTGAAAAAAAAAGAATTTTGCAAGTCCCCAAACAGCACCATTAACTGAAAAAATGCTACAAAATTTCGGCACTGAACTACATGGTGTAACAACTTGAATGATTTGTTATCACTCAATAAATTCTGCTACTGACTTCTCCTCCAACCAACAGGTAAGAATAATAACAGTTTCCCAATAATTAATAGGCTTGTTGTGCTAGTACATAACCTATCATAACACTACGTAGAGCAAACAGAAATTTCACTGTAGCCTCAGACAATCTGTAGAATTGAATTGCTCTTTGAACATTAGGCTAGCACTGTGAGAACTACTAATTTGCATCTCATACTTTTGCTGTGCTATTTAAAGACCTACAAATGCAAGGGCATAACTGACTGGTAGACAAACCATTCTTCCTTTAAATATTTGTTTCCCCCTGTTTCTTATGCATTCCTTTTATTTAAGATTTCCTTTAGACATCCCTTAGTTTAGTTCCCCTTTTCACCTTACCCTGCTCCTGTTTTATCTTCTTCTTCTTAAAATCATATTTAGAAAAACAAGAATCTAAATGTTTGTTTATACAGTTCTTTAAGAAAATTGTTAGGAAACAAACAATTTTGAAATCCAAGGAGATAATAAGGGATCCAAAATGGACTTTGAGGAGATAGCACTAATAATATCAAGACCAACTATAAAAAAATCTTTAAATATATAAGAAGCAGATACTGGTTAAGGAGATGGTTTGATCAGTGGATGACAAGGAAATTAAAGAAGTACTAAAGGAAAATAAGGAAATAACAAAGAAGCCTGAATGTTCTCTCTCTATGTTATAACGGTAAAGGTAAAGGTTTCCCCTTGACATTAAGTCCAGTCATGCCTGACTCTAGGAGGCAGTGCTCATCTCCGTTTCCTAGCCGAGGGAGCCAGCGTTTGTCCGCAGACAGTCTCTGTGGTCATGTGGCCGGCATGACTAAACACCGAAGTGCACGGAACGCTGTTACCTGCCCACTGAAGTGGTACCTTTTTATCTACTTGCATTTGCATGCTTTCGAACTACAAGGTTGGCAGGAGCTGGGGCAAAGCAACAAAAACTCGCCCCATTGTGCAGATTCAAACCAGCGACCTTTCGATCAACCAGCCCAGCAGCACAGTGGTTTAAACCAATGCACCAACTGCAGTTCCTCTATGTTATATGTGTGTGCATATGCAGCACTGCAGATATAAAGCATATAACCATGCCTGAAGTTGTATTTTTAGGAAGGGAGTTGTGGGAGCAGGAACTGAAACTGGAGCTAATGGAATACTAAACATTATTGAAAAATAAAAAACAAACAAATGTCCAGATTCAGATAATACCCATTCCAGAGTTCTCTAAGAATTCTTTCACATTTGCTGACATTCAAATTCACATTTGCTGACATTCTCACGAAAGTATAAAATATGTCCCTAAGATGGACCTCTATATCAAAATGGCTGATTTGTCAGTTTTAAAGACAAAATTCAGGGGATCCAGGAAATTGTAGACCAGGTTAACATTGTTTTCTGGGCAAATTGGAAGAAGCGCTATTAAAACTATAAAGCACAAGGATCAACACCACTTCTGTAAAGCTAAGTTCTGTCTAACCAATCTTTTTAGAGTTTAGAACTGTCAACAAGCATTTAGATGAGGCACTCCAGTAGACATGTGGATAAGGGTACTCCAGTGGACATAGTTCTTCACAAAGTCCCTCACCAAAGACTCTTGAGCAAATTTAGCAGTCATGGGATAAGAAAAGAGGTCATCTTATGGAACAACTAACTGGGTAAAAGACAGAAAGCAGAGAGTAGGAGTAAATGGTTAGTTCTTGCAATGGCGAGATATAAACAGCAGGATTTACCCTATGAAGGAAGGTGAATAAATTATCAGTTCTTTCAATACTGGGATTAAACAATGGGGGGCCAGGGGGATCAGTGATGCTGAATTGTCCAACACTGAGTTGGGTCGCATGTCAAGCTAACCAATACTGGCAACAAGTCACTGTGGGTTAGTTGTTTCATGAAAAATTCACTGTGTAACCACCAGATGGTCAGGCTCACCATGAACTGACCCCACATTTTTCCTGGTCCTTCAACCATCTAAAGCCACCTGGCCTCCATTCCTTTTCATGAGCCATTTTTGGCTCACCATGGGTTTTTTCTCTTCCCCTTTTTTTCCCTTGGAGATCACCTCTGATCATCACTGGGCAACTGGCACTGGCCTGGGCAAACCTGACAAGAATGGCAAGAGGTTCTTGCCATCAGCTGCAACTGATGCTGAAGAAGGTTCATTGGCAAGAGGCTCACCAGGAAATGAGAACCGTGACCACTAGGAGCAGCCACTGTTGGCTGAGTGGCAGCAACTGGTGCCAGGAAGGGTGTCCTGCATGACCACTGCACAAACAGTATCCCTCTTTTGCACCAACTGCAGTCATCTTTTGGGCTGCTGTGGGTGATGTGGAAGAAGGTTGCTGGTTGCACAACCAAAGAGTCCACTAGCATTCATGGACTTCCTCTTGGCTCAGCTTTCTTTGGAAAATGGGACTGAACACAAAAGAAAGCCCATGAATTCTTGGAGAGATGGATCCTAATAAGGCATATTCCCAATCCTACTTCCTAGTCCTAAAGTAATCAGATGGGATAGTCCTGACAGTGGTTCCTTTTCTGGAGGTCAGGCAGGCACCAACTCTGTGATTTTGTCAGAACCTTCTAGAGTTATCTTCATTTCAAGAAGCCTTCATTGATTGACCAGCTATGGTTTTAATTGGTATTCCGTTTTAAAAGAAAATTTAAAATGTTGTTTTTCTTCTTATACATTTTCATTGATCACCACACTGGCTCCTGTTCAGATGCGGAACAATATAAAAATGTTGTAAATACTGGCAGCATGAAACCTCCAAACTCTGGACTATCTTCAAACTCTGGACTCTAGACTATCTCTCCCAGCAATTTCATGTCTATGCTAAATAGCACATGGGGGAGAAATGGAATTCTGAAGGATACCACAGACAATGGCTCTGGCATCAAACAGGAATCCCCAGCATCACATTCTCAGATTCTTCCCTCCAAAAAGATCTAGAGCCACCATACAGCAGTGCCTCCAAGTGCCATCTCAAGCAGATGTCTGGATACAATGGTACTGAAAGCTACTCAGCGGTCCAGCAAAACCAATGCAAACACACTTTCCATTCCCAGTGTAGGTTGTCTACCAGGATAACCAAAGCACTTTCTGTCCCATAACCAGGCCTGATGCCAGATTAAAATAGAATTAGATAAACCACATTAGATAGAAATCCCTAGAGCTAAGAAGGTACCACACATTCTAGCACTTTGGAATTTTAGAGGCCAGGCAGAAATTATCCAACATAACGCGTTTCAGAAACCTTTCTTTTAAACTGTGTTCTTATCAACTCCTCTTTTAGGCAAGAGGAACCACACTTTGCTGTAAAGAGGCATCACTCTTTGCCACTACCATTACCCATTCACCCAGTTTGCCCTAGCATATTTATAAGACAGGAAGTGCAATGATCCAGCACACAAGTCATAGGCTTCACTGTTCCATGGATCCTCAGACTGTTCACACTGAAAAATATCTGTTACAACAGATAGGTAAAAGCCAAAGTTACACCCACCAGATCTCTATCAACTATGGCATCCAAACCAATGTTGCACAAATGTGGCACAGTGGATTATTGAGTGGTCCACTCCTTGATGATGGTGAAGTGTGATTTCTTCACTAACCTCATAGCCATGAATTGATTGTGCTTGTTAAAGTTTTCTGCCAACATTGCTGAAGTGGACATCCCATTAGCTTCATTACCCACAACACCCTGGAACACTAGTGGCCTCACAGAGCTCTTTTCCATGGGAGATGGCACTTCGAAGCAATTGTGTCAACCACCCATT